TGAAATGACCAATGGCGAATGGGTTCATGCGGATAAGTCTTGCATTTGCCTTACGTACTTTTAAAGAAGTGAGAGCTTGTCATGCTTTAACCAAGCATTTTCTCATGGTCATGTAAACGAGGGCCTATCGCAATCTGAAAAACGAAAATGCGTTGAATCGAAGTCCTACAGGGGTTCTTTATCACTGTGTGCGTTGTGTCAGTGTTTTGACGTTTGGCATTATTACTTTATTTGATAAGCGTTCGTTGCTTCGCATTTTTTTTAATTGCTTTCATCTGAATTGATTGCAGAATGCCGTCTGATGCTCCTGAGAAGAGTACCATCATGAAGCTGGTAACGAACGATGGCGAAACTTTTGATGTCCCTCTGGATGTGATAAGACTTTCTACCACGATCAATACTATGCTTCAAGACCTCGGTTTGGACAGTGAATCAAGCGATCCGATTCCGATATGCAATGTATCCGGTCCAATCATGAAGAAGGTGTTAACGTGGTGCACTTTTCACAAAGATGATCCACCTTGTACGGATGATTCGGATAATAGAGAAAAGCGCACGGACGATATTCCTAGTTGGGACGTGGAGTTTTTGAAAGTTGATCAGGGCACTTTATTCGAACTTATTCTCGCTGCAAATTACCTTGATATCAAAGGATTGCTCGACGTTACGTGTAAAACTGTGGCAAATATGATAAAAGGGAAAACTCCTGAGGAGATTCGACGCACCTTCAACATCAAAAACGACTTTACTCCTGAAGAGGAAGAGCAGATCCGCAAGGAAAATGCCTGGTGCGAGGACTGAATACTCAATACCTGACAGGTCTTGCTTCTTCAATGAACTCTGTTCGTTATCGAAGTCCATGTTTTGTTCATCACATCTTTGCTGGCGTTCTCCAATGTTATAGATTGGCAAATGCTTTGATGCAGATTTTTTTAGTGTGTTTATAACAACTATCTCTTCCTCGTATCCAAACCTATTATCCTATCTCGTTCCTCATCTGTCATGCAATTTATCAGCAGTAGTTTCCACTTTTCATCGATAGTTAGAATTATGTACATAGATGCTCGATCGATAAAGTTATGTTCAATCTCTCAATGTTATCCTTGTACTCGAAGTTTCTGCATCCCAAAGGGCTATCGCAGTCAGTTGATGTTTAATATCTATAATAATCTTCAGATGTCTGACTCCTCAAGCTCAGACGATGAGGTGCCCTCAGCAGAGACGAGAGAAGACCTAGAAGCGGGGAACCTGACAATAAGTTCGTTCATCAAAGTATCACCTGAGGGGTCTAGCAAGGTTTTTTCCAGACTCATCGTCAGTTTTGGATGGTGTTGGCGAACACGAGAATGGGCAACCGAAGTCATTCAAAGAATTGGTAGAGTATATTTTGCTTGTTCCAAAAAGTAATTTGTTGGGAATTCTCTATTGCACAGAGAAGTTTGTAGAATGCAGCTGGATTTCTCTGGTAGCGTATCGAAAGATATCAGAGGGTTATTATCTTGATTCAGTACTGGCAGAAGTATACCCCTGGTTTGCATTGTTAGTTTGCTTATAGAGTGTCAAGAAGCAGTAGAGAACCTTTGTAATTAGAGGTAATTTGACTGCAGTTCGTGCGCGGCAGGAGATAGACTATTGTGAAATGGCTTTGCGATTTTCTTTCCTTATTAACACACGCTTTGGCGGGGTGGCGAGGAAT